CTTAATATTATATATAATTATATAAGTATTTATATATATATATATATATGATGTATGTTTATAATATGTATTAATATATAAAGTGAGAGAGAAGATTAAAAAGGAGGGAGATTTTCAGACATGTACGAAAGCAGGAGAAGATTTGAAGGAAGTATAGGGATTGATTCGGTCCCCCGAAGCTCTTGGCCATCGATCTGATCTGGCTGAGGGATTGAAGACTTCAAGACTCTTTATGGGATCGATTCGCTCTCATAACCTCCTTTCGATCCATTGAAGTGATTTGTCGAGTCGAGCCAAAAGGGAACATGACCTCCCTAACATCCACTCACGGGGAGGGGGTACCAGAAGGCTTCCAAATTTATGAGAGGAATAAAAATATTTTTAAAATTAAATTGCTTAAATCAGCAGGTCGCACACATTAGAAGACAAAGACTATTTTTGGGGTTGATTTGCTCCCCCATACTCCTCGTCATTAATTTGATCCAATCGAGTCAAGCCAAAAGGGCAAGTGCCCTCCCCTACCTCCCTTTGCAGGGAGGGAATGCCGAGAGTCTGCCAAAATTTTAAACAATAAATGAGACCCCCTTAATTAAATCAAAAGTGAAAATTTTAAACCAAAATCATCTCTCTATAAATCCAATGTATCTCTACTCTATAGAAGATATGAGTATCATTTACAGAGCAAAATCCAACCCAATGCAATATTCATGAACCCTAGGGAACAATTTATCTTAAAGAGAAGGTCATGACTAGAGCTTTTTATTACATGTTCTTAAATGCCATATGCTTTACCATTAGCAATAGTGATCCATATGCAAACAGTTGTCCTCAAAAGAGTCTCCAGTTGGAATAACTTAATCTTAATCAACCAGACAACTGAAGGGATGACATAGTTTAGTGTAACCCTTATGACAATGCCAGTGCTATAGAGGAAGAATTCACACATTAATTGAATGAACATTGTTTCAACCTCTATGTTGACTAAATGAAGCTTACCCTTGAGCTACATCTATAGTCTTGCATGACAGTAAGAAAGTTGTCACAAAGGAAGCCTAAATGTTGAGTGAAATTTAAAAAATAAAAAGAAAAATGTTGACGTCGGCTTAACATGCAATAATAGATGTGTAATGTTTATGGCTGATTAAAATGGCACTAATGCAATAAAAGTATGTATATTAAAATAATATAAGAATGAGTTATTAATGGCATTAAACGAGTCACAAATACATCATTATTTTGTGACATATATTAGTCTTAGTCCATCACAAACTATTCATTCAAAGAACCTCATAATGTAATAGTAGTACAATCTGATAAAAACAAACTGCCCAGATAGATCGAGGCATATAGAGTATGAATAATCAATTGATTGTATTCACCAAGCCCATGAGAATTATCGAATGGTTTAATTAATTACAAGCTTCTAATGATAGTGGCTTCATTAATTGAATGTGCTTGCTTTCATGGAAATTATCAAAATAGCTTTATTAATTATAAGCTTCTTAATTTTAGCAAATGATTTTTATGTATTATGATTTCATGTATATTTTTAGTTTTTAAAATTAAAAAGCTTGTAATTAATTTTTTTTTTTTAAAGATATTTTGAGATATTTTGAGAATGGCTAAAAGAATGGCTAAAATCTTATATAGCCATTCTCAAAATATACATGAAATCATAATCTTATAAAAAAGAGTAATATTTCTCAAATATAAATTAAATATGAAAGAACATAAAATTTAACTTACATGGCAACAAATGATTTAAAAAAAAAAATTAAAAAAAAAAAACCTTCATTCTGTATTATATATTTATAGATTTTCTAATTTTAAGGTATTAAAATATGAGTAAATTTTTATAACAATAAATATTTAAATAATATAGAAGCCAATTTTAAGTTACGAGAACAATATAGTATTTCTAAAACATTTGTTAACTCCACAATTTTTTTTTTTTTGCGATTCTTGCAAGAAAAAGATATGATACATCTTACAAATTTGTTGAAATTTTTTAAAAAGGCATTCATATTTTGTCATTAACATCTATGTAATATACATATTTTGTCCATTATTGAATAGTGGTACTTCTTCTTGTTTTACTTATTTGATTTATCAAACATATTCAACGCAAAATATAAAAAGCATGTGAACAATCTCTTTAATTTTTAATATAAAGAGATTTTAAATATTATTTTAATTAGAGAATAGTTTGGAAGTATTTTCATCTGAGGAACTTTAATGGCAAAATGGAACTTATATAGTTACATGTACTATCATCAAAGGTGGAAAGGTTTATTCTAGATTACTAATTTGAAAGGTACAAATAAATATGAAATATGTATATACCTGAGCTTGAAAACTTATGAAAGATTTAGGCTTCGTTTGGGACGGCTTTCTTTCTGCTTCTTAAAGCAGATTTCTAGTATAAAATTAAAAAAAGTTTATACTAGAAAGCTCCTTTAAGAAACAGAAAAAAAGCCGTCCCAAACAAAGCCTTAGTATCTATTTAATTGCTTTGGAGAAAGAAACTCAATTACTCTGATTGAAAAAAAGTAGACTTCAACCATTAAAATATTTGGAAAGCATAAAAAAGTAGTAGACAGATAAAATTATGAAAGGAGCCCTCCTTACAAGTTGGTGGCGCTTGTATTGTATGGGATCTCCTAAAACATCCAACCTTTGGTGATTGAAGAATCACCAATCCTTCATGTGTAGAAATATCAAGAAATCTCTGAATTCTATTTGAAGAAGGTTTAGATTTAGAGCTGGTCAATGTGTTACTCAGGGGCGGAACCAGCCTTTCATCTTAGGGGGGGCAAAATTTTCTTAGTATAATAGACTAATATAAAAAAAGATGACATAATTCAAAGTGAAATCTTCTATTCCATTATGATAGGAAAATTAAAAATCATTATAATTTTATCAATCTATTTTTCTCTTCCTTTCAACCCAATGACCCAAACACATTTTTTTGAAATTAAGTAAATTGTATACAGATTATCTTGAAGTCAAAATGCTTAAAAGTTAAACTTCTATAGTTTAGAACATGTGGTTTGCCATGATTAATTACTGAAATCAAATTACTGAAGTCAAAATGATTAATTACCCGTACACAAGTAATTAAGTAAACTGTATACATCTAAACTGAAAAAAAAAAAGGATTTAGAAGAAGTATATTCTTTGGATTAAAGGCCCTAATTAATTACTGAAATCTTGAAGATGATTGCAATAAGAAAGAAAAACATATAGATAAATAAAAATACAAAAATCTGTCAACTATTTACCAAGAAAATCTAAAGTAAATTGTTAGATGCAAGAAAAGCTAATCAAATCCTCAAGAGAAGAAGAAGAAGTATATTCTTTGTCATTAAGAGGGAGAAAAGAAAAATAACAGCAGCCATTATCTATTCCTAAGCAAAGAAGATCAAAAATCGCTTCTCAACTTACCTAGATCTCCCGATGCCAGATGCAGCTACGAATCACGAACAGACCCTTCCCTCTCGCGCAGGCCTTCTCTCGCGGTCTCGAGGTCTTGCATGAATAATTTGCGAAGCCTTCCCAGTTCCCTCGATCGAGTCTCGCCGAGTCGCAGGAGTCGCCGTCTTGCGCAAAATGTGAATTTAGTTCGCTGTTTTAGGTGTTACTTCGGCTGGTTAGGGCAAAGGGGGGGCAAACCGGTAAAATAAACTTTTTAGAGGGGTTAAGTTACCAAATTGCCCATCTATAATAAAAAAAAAATTTAAGGGGGGGCAATTGCCCCCCCTTAATACCTAACAGTTCCGCCTCTGGTGTTACTGGACGCAGAACCATTTGACACTAGAGTCGAAGCTGAGATACTTAATGGAGGATTTAGAACAAGCTTGAGAACATTTTGTGTAGCCAAGTTTCTTTTGATGTAGAGATTGAAGTCAGCAAGATTCAATTTGGACTGTGTTTGCAAAGCCACTTGTAGAGAGCTAGACCATTTGAATGTTCTTAATTGCCTTGATTGAAATTCTCTACCCCAAAACATTGAATTTACTTTATGAGACATCACTAGCCTCATATGTGAGGCATTCTTAAAGCTTGAATGGAAATTAAAAGACATGTTTTGGAAATCTTTATTGTACTACCTCAACTCTTGTCATCAGTTAGAATCATTTGTCATTTAAAATTCTAGCAACCTCCTGACGTCCCTTCCCATCAAAAGAGAGATCGTGATTGCACTTGCAGCATCACAAAAATTCCAGGCACTGATAAATTAAGACTTTTTCTGTTTTTAATACAAATAAAATAAATCAAAATTATGAATAAAAATGAATCAATTATTTATTTACATTATTATTTCACAAATAAGTATAGATGTGTTTTTATTATTTAAAAAAATATATACTAAAATACTATTGCACCTATTTATTTTTTTCGCCAGCAAAACTATAAAAACGAAGTAGAGAAATTCAAATGTCATTCAAAGGAATGGTTCTTTAAGTCCTGAAGCCATGTCCAACTAATTAAATATTCTAACCAATTGAGAGATCTATGAAAATATTGAATAAATTATACAGATATCCAACTTTGACTTGTTTGTCTTATAATTGGACAGAACATTGTAATGATCGTTGGCATTAAATATTATATAAGTTACGAGAGTTTCTATTGTTTGCGTTCATGCCTGCCAGCTAGAAAGCACGTTAAGCTGTGTAGTATAAATTCCCCAGATTATATACTATAGAAGCACCCGACAAGTTAATCAAAAAGCCTAGTTACATGATGGCCATGATGATGAATAGTACCAATAACATCCCAACAAGATCATCCACAAGTATCTTTATTATTTGTGTTGCCGCTCTCCTGCTCATATTTGCACCTTCCTATTCAAATAGCTCTGCCTCTAGCATGCAAGTCGGTGATATTTTGAATACTGGAGATTCTCTCATACTCAGTGGATGTACATTGACAATGGAAAGTGATTGCCTTCTCATTCTATATGCAATAGGAAGTTCAATTTGGGACTCCAAAACCTCTGGCAAAGGCGATCATCATTGCCAAGCGAAGCTGAATAATGATGGCCAACTCGTCATCTTATCTGGAGCAGGTAATACCGTCTGGGGAAGTCCGTACCAAGGTCCAATTAGCAACTACGTCCTCGAATTCAATGGAGACTGCTACATTGGGATCAGAGACCTCGGTAATGGCCACACCGTGTGGTCTACTTGCCCGATTGATTTGTGCGTTAATCAGTTTTAGGAGACTACCAGCTTTTATTTTAATTTTTAATCGAATAAAAAAGTTGTGTGGGCTTAACATATTTTCACTATATAAAGAAATATAAAAATCATATAATAAAGTCTTTTTAGTTTTCAAGAAAACATTTTTTATTATCAATTTTTTTCGCTTTTATTAGGATTCTCTATTGCTTGTTTATATGTCAATGGATCATCATTTGTATCATCAGATGCAACAATATATGCTTCCCCATTAATTTTATATCTAGAAGGTAATCTAATAACTTTCGAGCAACTTAACATAGACCTAACTATATCGAGCAATGTTCAACTTCTTCTTTCAACAACACCATTTTATTGTGGAGATGCAAGTGTAGTGAGTTGTGATAAAATTTCATTCTCAATTAAATAATTTCTAAGTTTTATATCTAAACACTCACCTCCGCGATCTAATCTACGTATTTTTAATGGCTTTCTTAATTTATTTTCAACTTTAGCATGAAAACCCTTAAATTTTCTAAAAATTTTATGTTTTTTTGTCATTAAATAAACATAACTTGATTAGTCATCAATGAAAATAATAAAATATTCATAACAACCTATTGCTTGTATATTAAATGGATCACAAACATATGAATGTACAAGTTTGAGGATTTCTTTTGCTCTTTCACTTTTTCATTAAAAGTTTTATTGGTCATTTTTTTATTCTAAACAAGATTCGTAGACTGATAGAGTTCTAATTGTTAATTTTCTTAAATGATCATTCTTTACTAGTTTTTCAATCATATTTAAGTTGATATGATCAAGTCTAAGATGCCACATATATGCATGTGTTATCTTCATATGAAATATTTTACCCTTTTTTAGGTTTTTAATTTTGAACATTTCAGTATTAAGCAATGTATTTTCGGTGAGCTTTAACATAAAAATTCCATTTTCCATTATTTTAGAATAAATATTCAAACCATTTTTAAAAAAAATAATCTCATTATTATAAAAAAGATAGTCCAAAATATTGTCCAAGTAATTTTGAAATAAATTTAATATTTCTGAAAAACCTTGGAATAAAATAAACATTATTCAATACTAGATGTTTATTTTCAAATTAACGCCTAACGGCTCCCACTGCTTGAGATGATATTATGCTTCATGTCCCCACTCTCATAATATGTTCGTCATTAGCAAACCTCCTCCAAGAACTAAACATCTGCAATGAAGAAACAGATATAATCAGTTGCACCTGAATCAACTATACAGGATGACATATCATTTTCAACTAAACATGTTTCAAGAACTATTAAATCAATTTTACATTTCTTTTCCTTCTTCTTCTCTTTTAGCCTCACAAGATACTTTTTGCAATTGCGTTTTCAACGCCCTTTGATCCCACAATAAAAATATTTTTATTTGGATTTCTTTTAAAAGTTTTTTTGTTTTTTATATTGCTTTTATTGTTATTGTTGCATTTGATTCCTTTTAAAAATTTTATATTTCTATCTTTCTACTTTATTTTATTATTCTTATAACTTTAGTAATATGTGACTCTGGCTCATTTAGCAGTTTAATAAGATTATAATTCATATGGTTCATAAAATAATTATTATTGGATTGTAGAAATCGTGAGGATAGAGTTTCTAAAATTATTTTTACTTGACTTCCCTCATCAATGATTGATCCATTAATCTCAACTTTATAAATATAATTTATCATTTTGAGAACATGTTCTCCAACTTAGATATTCCCTTTCATTTTGGAATTCATAATTGCTTTTAATAGCTTAATGACAAACTTGTTCAAAAGATTGCCTAAACAACTCTTTATGTTGTCAAGATAAAATTAACATATTTAATAAATATTTTTATGAGTGTGACACATTATTATAATTTTCTAAATTTTAAATTAAAGTTGTCGTCATAACGATGTCGGAATTCGGAGATATTGGGCTCGTTGGATTCGTCTCGTCGAGCCGCTCGATTCAGCTACAAGCAAGTTATGTTTGAAAATCGTTTGGTAATCCAAATTGTGATTCGAACCTTACAACAGTGCTTCGAGTCCTCGATTTGGACTCATTTGGGCTCGGATTGAGTAGAATTTGGTTTGAATTTCCGAGACGTTCAGTTTGACTATAAGTTTGCTGAAATTGGAGTTCGGATTGTCCCAATTTTAATTTCGGAAATTTCCAACTTGATTTTGCATCAAGATTCGTGGCTTTTTTTATGACGTCTCAATGATTATATTTAACATGTATTTTATAAATTAGCAAATGGGTTGTGATCTCATTGCCTTGGTTCCACTAAAACATCAATATCTTTGATATGTCATCAAAAAATTATCTTGATTGGGAACGAATCTCGAAACAAAATCAAGTTGGAAACTTCAAAAATTAATTCGGAGACTATCTTAACTCCGATTTCA